TCCGAGGCGGGCGGCGCCACAGCCACACTGGGCAGCGCCGGACGCCGGCCGACGGCGCCACGCAGACCCCGCCCCTCGCGCTGATTGGCCCGCCTGAAAAGGCCCTTGCCTATCAGACACCGACCGGACTGTCACGCACAAGTCCCACCTTCCAGGAGCCGGAATCCAACCCTGCTTTCCCCCTAGTCCAGCCCGGCTCCGCCCTCTTGCCTATCAAGATGACAGCCCTACCCACTCGCAGGATTGTACTAGCGTGGTCCTGGGTGCCCCAACCTGTGCCCCCCTACGGCGCCGCGTGTGCGGGTCGTAATCTGGAAAATCTGAAGCTCCCTAGGGTGGCCGGGCCGGGCTGATGCAGTTGGTGGGGTTAAAAGTGCTTCTTCAGTGAGACTGGACTCCTAAGTGACTGCACCGTTCCGAGGGTGAGCTTCCATGTGCTCCCCTGTAGAGAGCAGCGACCTCAAGCCTGCCTCCTAGGGCAGCGAGGGAAAACGAGATCCCACGGCGGCGCGTGCCAGGTGAGTGCTGACCGACTGTGGGAAATAGTTTACTGCGCCTTGCTGAGCCTACACGCGTTTAAGCCCGAGTGGTGGCGGCAGCCACGAGCACCTGACACGCCGGCACTTAGGGAGCGCGGGGATTCAGTGGCTAACCTGGTGGTGCCTAATGACAAAGTAACTGTTTGGGTTGTAGCATTATAGCATTATGGCCGCTCTACTCCGAGGGTTGGGGTAGTCTCAGATAATAAGGTGTCATTCCAAACATTGAAATACCTTTAGCCAGCCTTGAGTGGGGTTCCATCTCAGCCGTCGGTCGGTCGCTGAGCCTCTGTCCTCACACTAGCCAGGAGTCTCTGGGATCTGATGGAAAGCCAGGCGTAGTGAGGGCAAGAAGCACAAGGTCAAGGAGTCTGTCAGAGCCCGAGTGAGTCTTAGCTCTCTGGCCAGCACTCAGGCCATCAGTGCCTTGCTTGCATACTTGGTTGCTACCTGCCCCTCCCCATTAGGAATCCTGACTGTCTCATCCCGTCGTATCCCAAGGCTTAGCCCAGAGCCACGCACATAGTAGGTACCTAAGAACTATTTGAGGAATGAACAAAGGAAGTAGGAAAGCATGCCACAGACACGGGTAAAGTGATTCTAGTCCCGTGCCAGCCTCCCAGACACCAGGGTGACTCAGACCAAGTCCTCAAACAGGAGGAGTTTAATGGGTTAGTCAGAGAACTTGACAAACAGCCCAGGAATCACAAACTCCATGTGGGATGCTATAAATAGATTCAAAAGTCCTAAGAGGAGGCCCTACCTCACCTGGGTGGGGTCAAGGAAGGTGACCTTCATGGACCAGTAGCCAGACAGAGAGATAAGAGACCCTTCTTGGAAGAACAAAGAAGCCAGTTCAGGCAGTGGGGAGCTGCTCGTGAAGCTAGGCTGCACCTACAAGCCAGTCAGCTGCTGGGGTAAGGGGCATGACAGAAGGCCACTAGGCTTTTTCTTTCAGACCACCTCTGGCAACAGCATCCATTGCCCTCCGGTTGCTAAAGGAAGTACATGGCCACCCAGAAACTGACCAGAGCATTGGAGCCAGCCCCCAGTGTTTTACTCTAGCTCCTAAGGAAGCAGACCCCTCTGCAAACTCAGGGAAACCGAGGCTTAGGGTAGGAAGGGTTCAGCCTGTGTTAGCATGTAGCTTGAGGTAGGTAGGACTGGGAGTGATAGTTGTAGAAAGAGGATGGTCCAAACCCAACCCTCAGTGAATCTCATTCACTGAGCACTTACTGTGTGCCTAACTAACGTTGTAGGGGTCAACACTGAACAAAACAGGTATAACTCTGCTCTCAGGAAGAAATGGACTTCTGGCCTAAGTTAATTTGATAGGATGTCTCAGATTGACAAACACTGTCAAAAAAAAAACAGAAACAAGACAAGTATGTAGAGAGGTGATGGTGTTGTTTTAATGAGGACAGTCAGAAAAAGCCTCCCTATAGGTGGGATGGAAGCAGAGGCTTGAGGAGGCAAGAGAAAGGGTAATCATTCCCAACAGAGGGAATAGTAGTGCAAAAGCCCCAGGGCGGTTATGTCACCGGGTTTAGTCAGAGGTGAGAGGCCCTTAGACGCAGCCCTTCCACATGCTGTTACATGTCATCCCCATGTGCTGATCATACACCCCCAGCACACCTGGATACTCGTGAGGTGCACAAGTGTTTGTATGCATGTAACATGGCTGCACAGAAGCAGCAGTCATGCACAGCTCTGTTTGTGTGTTCAGTTCCTGCCACCTGCAATGCCTCCAGGGCTTGCTGACCTGGGGTGGGTTCCTTCTGGTGACCAGACCTAGTGTGGCTGTGCTCTGTGGGGCCCTGCACAGAATAAACCATCCAGCCGTCTCACTTCTGTGCTGGCTGCTGCAGAGTCTTCCCAGTGCTTCAGAGGAAGCTTTCAGAAACAGGGCTGGCCAAGCTCCAGACACTTCCTGGTTCCCTAGGTAGGGAATTTCCAACACTCTGGCCCTGTTGACATCTCTAGATACTTCCAGACTAAGCTTTCCTTTTTGATCCTGTCTTTGCAAAGGCTGTTCCCTCAGTCAGGAATGCCCCTCACTGCCTTCATCTGAAGCTTCCCGCACTTCTGCCGTTCCTGCACTTCTTCTGCCATGTGAAAAACCGCAGGGGAGATTTCTGTAGTAGTACTTCCTCGTCAGGACCATCAGCCTGAAAATAATGACACAGAAACTTACTACTCAGTATGAAAGCTTGGCCCTGAGCTTAGGCTCCTATGACTCAAATTAACCTGTTCCTATTAATCTACATTTTGCTGCATGGCCTTTACCTTTCCTCTGTATGACTTGTCACTTCTCCGAGTCTACTGGCAAAACTCTTGTGCCTAAATTCCTCTTCCTCTTTATCCCCGGAAATCCTATCTGTCCTCTCCTGCCTAGCTTTATTACACCAACCACAACAATGCATCTTCACACAGTGTACAAATATCCCACAAGACATACCTGCCAAATGTTTTATTTTTTTCTTTTTTACCTGCTATATTTAAATGGCCATCATTTTGAAATAATGAACTCATCCACGTGACATGATGCTTCCGGTACAACAGCAAGTGCCATTTTCACAGCCCTAGTGTGTGTCCGTCCCTCATGCAGACTCCTTATGAGGCAAGCTGTGAGTAGGCATACTTGGCTACTGGCCTCCACAGTGCATAGCAGGCACTCACTGGATACTTGGAGCACACCCCTTCCAAGGAGGTGTGCCTTTTCATGGACACAGAGCACAATAGAAAGCAGAGGATGAAGGCCTGAACACACACACATATACACACACACACACAACTACTACAGAGGCAGGCTATTGTTGAACTCCCATCTGGCAGATCTTGACACTTTCCCCTGCTTTTTTCTGCCTATGCTCTCATTAAAATGTTTCACAGTGCTCTTCTGAGCTGCACAGGTTTCCCTGAGTTTCTTCCTTGGCTTTCTAGACAGATAGTAGCTCTTTGCCCTTGGATCTGAACTACCCAGGTCCTTGCAGGGTAGTGTGGAGCCCTCTGGCTGCAGCAGGGAAGAGTTCCAGGCTGAGAAGTATCCAACATGGCCCTTCCTTCTTAGGACACAAAACACAAGCATTTATTGACACTCATCCCATGGCAGGCCTCATAAGTTCACACCTTGGTAAAGCTGGCATAGTTGGAAATTCTCCTTCCAGATGAGGGAACTAAGACCCAAGCATCTTGCCCAGGTCTCATGACTGGGAGGGAGGAAACCAGTTCCTAACCCAAATGATGGAGGTTGGCTCAAAGTATCATATAGGGGCTTTTTACCAGAGTGCTTGTTTGTCCTGCTGTCTGGAACCCAGGACTGCCAGGATGATCTTATTGCCACGATTTGGTGAGAAGCATCAAAAACAGAGACCAGTGACTTGTCCACAGTCACACAGCCAAGAAAAGAGAGGCAGAAGTATATTAGTCCTGCATCAACATTACCACAGTGGGCAATCACAGGATCCACCTGCACAGGGCTGTCCTCTAGCCTAAGCCACAACGCAGCAGAGTAACCTGGAGTGAATCATTTGTCTCTGCTCCAAGTGCACATGTGCTTCGTGTGTGTGTGTGTGTGTGTGTGTGTGTGTATCTGTGTCTATCTGTCTGTCTGTGTCTTGGGAGATAACATCTCAAGATGTAGGCCAGGCTAGCCTTGAACTCCTGATCTTCATGCTTTAGCCTCTCTAGTGCGTGAATGGGGCTTTCTTTCCCATCCACGGGCATTATTGCTTCTGCCAGGCCCCTCAGCCATCCCCAAGGCGCTTGACTCCTTCCACTACTTAGCCGCTGCTGGGAAGTTGTGGCAGCTGGCGAGGGGGAGGTCAGAACACCTAGAAGGCCTTCTCATAGGGCCACTGCCACCCCCACTGGGATCATCACCAGGACTGCCACTGTTTTTTCGGTGATAGCTGCCTTGTTGCTTTCACAGTTTAGCTCGCCACCTGCTCAGCTGTTACTGCCACTGCTGTTCTGCTACCTCTTGTTGCCGCTCTTCCGCTGACTTCTGGTGTGGTAATCACCGCTTGCTACTGTCCCTGCTTTTTATCTCTTTAGGTAACAACCAGCTCAGCCCACACTACTGAAAGCAAGGCTAGAAAGATCACGTGAAAGAAACCTTTTCTTGGGTCCGATTTTAACGCCAGGGATGGTGGTTGCACAGGAGACTTGTCTGGAGAGCCTAAGCAGCCTGCCCGTAGTTGAGCCAATCAGGGCCCTTTGTTTGGACCAATCTTACCAGCCTCCGCAGTCCCCCCCCCCAGGAGAAAACCGAGGGCATTGCGCCCCTTCTGGCCAGAGTGAGAATGACTGAAGAATCAGAGTGCTCCGCAGCACTAAGGATTGCAGTCTGTACAGAGACTTGTTCAACTTGTAGTTCAAATTGTAGTTCAACTTGTAGTTGTAGTTCAGTAGAACGCTTGTCCGTCATGCAGGAAGCCCTAGGTTCGGTCCCCAGCACGAGGGATGGTGGCACAGGCCTTTAATCCCAGTGTTTAGGAGATGGAGGCAAGGAAGAGCTGAAATTCAAGATCGTATGAGGCCATTCTGAGCTAGAGATCCTGTCTCCAAACAAAAGGGTCTGGATGAGGCTGGAGAGATGGCTCAGCACTTAAGAGCACTAGACCAGGGTTCGATTCCTAGCACCCATATGGCAGTTCACAACTGTCTGTGACTCCAGTTCCAGGGGATACAAATGCATATAAAATAAAAATAATATAATATATTATAATAAGAGGAGGTCTGACACAGACTGTTCCAAACATCCCTGAATATGGCCGCACCTTCAGGAGCCAAGGCAGTTACCCATGCTCTCTATATAGTTTGGTCTGGGTGTCTGTGAAGCATTCAAGATGGCTGGTACTGGCATAGGGTAGCCTGCTTGGCTGTTAGACTAGCAGTCCTTTTGCTCAGGGCATCAAGGGAAAGCCCATCTGCTGCTACTCAGGGAGCATTGTTGCCCAACCCAGTGCTTTTTCATT